GGACGGTCGGCCCCTTTCTGCGCCTCGGAGCATGAGCTGCGTGTGGTCTCCCCCGTCTTCCTGCAGCTGCCCAGCTACGAGGAGGTCAAGTACCTGCCCACCTACGAGGAGTCCATGCGCCTGCAGCAGCTCAGTCCCGGCGATGTCGTGCTCCCGGTGTCGGTGCTCGGCCGCCCGCGAGGCGGCGACGCCGGGGAACCCGACGGTGGCCAGGGCCGCTTCCCGCTCATCTGAGCGCTGGAGGTCGCTGGGGGCCACGGAGGCTGTTGAAGCTGGGGGCTGCGGGTGGCGCTCAACGGCCGGCCGGGCTGGCCACTGCAGACACCAACGGACTCAAGACCCCCCCCTGGCACCCGGACCTGACAGCCGGTCGCCCCGCGACTGAGTTGCGGTAACCCGTGTCTCCCCGCCCTCCAGCGCGCTCCTGGGAGACGTTGGGCTTCCCTACGTTTTGGTTTTAGTTAAGGAAACGTTGGGCACGCGCAGGGGGTGCGGTGGCCGCGACAAGCCCCAAGCGCAACTCTGGAGGACGTCCCGCCCCCTGCCTCGCCGCGTCTTGTGCTCACTCGTAAGTGCCTGCTCCCCGAGTCCAGGGGAACGCCAGAGCCCTTGGGTGCGTCGGAGAAGGGCCGCCTTCTTCAGGGCTGCGCAGAATGGAGCTTAGCCTCACTTCTTTCCCTAGACAGGTGCCTGCGCCCAGGATGGGCGGGGGGCGGCTGGACACCGCGTGGGTTGAGGAGACCGGCGCTTGGCAGGATGGATTCCCTCCCTGGCGAGGACTCTGGAACTCTGAAACTCTTGGGTGTCTTCCTGGCCAAGCGGTGACCCCTGAGGCTCCTGAGAAGGTCGGGGATGTCCATGATGTATGGTATAGAGATCCAAGACCGTGTTCGCAATACGGTGCCGCAGGATCTGTGACTTTTTTCAATAACGGAGAAGGTATTTATATTTATTTGTCTTTTATTTTTATACTTTCACCATGTCTTGAACGCAACAGGAGAGCGTTTCAGTAAACTCATGACAAGACAATCATCACTTTTTTTTAGGCCGGTAATGGTCAGAAAGTTGCCTGCACCCTGTCAATACTGTTGAATGAAATGCTGGACATTATTTCATTAAAAATGAAAAGAAAAGAGGCCTGATCAAATGAGGAAACATGTGACATAAAAAAACATGAAGGATATCTTATTTTCACTATTTGAGAAGAATACATTTTATTTTTAGTACTGTGGCATAAGATCTAACTTTTTATAATAACTGTATACATTATATAGTCTAGGTCTCAATTGTGTCATTCACGTAATTGTATGTAAACATAATTGATACATATATGCCGTGCCATGAAGCATGATGTCATGCACCTCGTCCTCCACTTTTCATTTGGGATACATTTCAGGAGATGATACAGAACATGACTTGTGACTTGCAACTTTTTTGAAAAGCCATGCTTGTGCGACAATGTGCTACGGGTTTCAGTCAGCCTTTTTTTTTGAAGTGTCATTGTATCAGTTCTACCATTCTGTGAAGTGTTTAAACAAAAGGTATGACGTGCATTATTTACAATGCATAATATATTTCGATGTGTTGTGTGTAATGTACATAGGCATACTGTCTGTATACAATCAATGTACTTACTGTATGCCATAGTTATTGCAGGTGTGATCGTCTTGAAAGGAAAAGGAGGGAAACAAACACTAATGATTTCTCTGCCGGGGAAGGATAAATTACATCAAGAAACGTTACACGCATAGATCTCTCATGGGTCTAGACCATTGTTCCTTCGATTGAAGAAGTCTGACGATTCTGGGAAATCGTAACGTATCTGATTTGTATTAGAAGAAAAGGATTAGTTTAAACTTTTAAAGGCTGGTTGAAAAAGAGTCTGGCAGTTTTGAGAAATTTTTAAATGTCTGGATTGTAATAAAAGAGAATGGTTTATATGAAACTTCTAAAAGTGAATGACCCTGTCATTGAAAAATAAATCATTTGAAGTGTATTAAAACATAAAAAAAAATTTAAAAATCTTTCTCCATGCCAGTTTTATCAGATGTGTGACTACATGGTGTATTAAAATACTGGGTCGTCAGAGAAGTCACGACATATTTTTACATAGAAAAACATAGAAGAGGGGTCAGCTGGTGGCACAGTGGTCAAGACAGCTGGATTCCCACATGGCCAACTGAGAGGTTCAAGTCCTGGACCCAGCAGCTTGGAAAACACCCCAGCCATGTGTGTGTGTGTGTGTGTATGCACCCAAAAATCCCAAGAGAAGAGATCGCTGTATGGCCATCTCCCTTGGGAGGTGCTTTCCTACTTTTCTCTCTTGCTGTCTCTCTCTTGGGGGAGCACATATGCCCTACAGCAAACGGGGGGTGGGGGGGGAAGTACATGGAAAAACAGAATAAAGCATTGAGTTTATTTTGATGCCAAAAAAGAATCTTGAAATCCATCCATAGTTTTTTCATAATATGCATTTCCATGAACTTTTTTTTAACATCAGAGGGCATGTGTGTGCACCAGAGGGGGAGAGAGGGCCTGGCCACGCTGCAACCCCTTTCCTCCATTCCTGTCAGAATCCTGGGCAGCTGAGGCCTGGACTCAGCCACAGATCAGGCTCTCTACAGAGCTTTTAACCATTGTGTGACAGGGCTGAGAGAGACAGCAAGAGCGGAAGTGAGAAATCACTCCCCTGGGGCGGATGGCCATGCCGCAGTCCCTTCTCCTCCATTCTCCTCCTGGGATCTTAGGCACGCATGCACAGGTGCCTGGCATGATTTTCAAGCCACTGGCTCAGGGACTTGAACTGTGGTCAGCCATGTGTGAGTCCAGCAATGTAAGCACTGCGCCATCTGCTGGCCCACCTTGTAGTTATTCTACCTGGAAAGAATTCATAATGTGTTGCTGTTTTTTTTACTTATCTTTAATATCCTATATATAGCCAAAGACTTCAGTGTTTTCTAACTGTAAATAGAGTACTAGGGCATGGAATACTAATGGAATTAATATGGAACTTTTTATTTTATAGCATATCTACCATAACCAAACCCACCTGGAAGTGCCATGTTTTCCAGTACTGACTGAACCTTGCTGCTGATTTTCAGCTATCTAAGTAATTCAAATACTAAAAAAATTTCGGGCATGCTTTATTTTCGCTAGCTTCTCATGAGTAGGAAAATAAAGGTTCTGGATATAGGAATTCATCTAGAATGTAAAGAAACATGATTGATTTTCTAAATTTGTGTTAGATATATAAACATGTATATTTGTACATTATGTACACATATATGCACACGTGTATGTGTGTGTGTATGTAATTGCCAGTTGCTTAAAAGCAGTTCGTTACAGGTGTTTGATATCATAACCGAGGGGAAAACGTTTTCTTGAGAATAATTTTAAAAGGCCCTTAATTGCCACCTTCTGCAAATGGGAGTGTGTTTCAACTATGCAAAATGGCATTGACAATATGCCAAAGAGCATGAGATGTACAATATGAAAAAAATAAGATCCAATTGTAAAGGCCAAAGGGAATATTAAGGAAATGGCCTCACTTAACAGTTTAAAATGCAATATGCTAAGTACCTTAACGTTGTCCTTTGTATACAGTTTTTCTCAAGCATGGTGGTTAAGGTTCTGGATTCCACATGACTGACTCCATGGCTCAAGTCCTAGACTCAGCAGTCTGAAAAGCATGCTGGGTACATGTGCATGCACGCCGAAAAATCCCAAGACGGAATGCAGCATGGCCACCCCCACTCGGGGATGATTTCTCACTTTCCGTCTCTTTCTGTCTCTCTCTGGTGAGCGCATGTGTACCCTATGACAAAAATCTAAAAAAAAATAAAATAAAAATAAAGAAAGAAAGAGAGAGGGATGGAGGGAGGGAGGGAAGGAAGGAAGAATCATCTCATTTTATAAGGCTCCAGAGAGAAATTCAGGGAGGGGGAACCCTACATCAGTTATCATGTTTGTTCATCCATCCACCCACCTATTATTCATCCAGCCACACAAAACAGATTTGAGGCTGTTTACAAAAGCTCATACAGAACAAGACACCCCTCCCCCCCAAAAAAAGTAAGTGAAAAACCAAAGCTAAGGGAAAAGTACACACTTAGTTCTGAACTTTATAGCAGAAAATAAAAAGAGAGGCATCAGTTAAGGAGTCACATTGTTGATTAAGAGAAACGAAACTCTTCCAGGTAGTGAGATCTAGGAAAAGCCGCTCCTGTGTTCTCAGTCAAAAGACACCATAAAGTCAAAAAACATGTATGACCGTCTCTATGTTGTGTGCCTCCAGGCTCCTAAGAATGAAATCCTCAGCCCAGAGCATCGTTAACACTCGCTACTAGGGCACAGGTCTACGCGGTCTAAATAACTAGCACAGGAACTCTGACTGTGGATGCCCTGGCCCGAACCCCAACCAGGTTTATTCTAGAGTCATCTATAAGTTACACAGAGGGCCAGCCGGCAGCATCGTAGTTAAGGTAGTTGGATCCTATATCGCCAACTGTGTGGTTTGAGTCTCAGAGCTGGCAGCTTGAGAAACACTCTTGGCGTGTGCCCAAAATCCAAAGGAGAATGGAGGAGAAGGGATTGCAGCCTGGCCAGCTCACCCCCACCCCCCCAGGGGTTTTTCTCACCTTCCTTCTTTCTTTTCCTCTCTCTGCATGCATCCTATAATAAATTACAAATATTCACCATAAATGTTATTCCGCTTAACTACGTCTTTAAAAGTTGTTTTTGTTGCTCTTTTAAAAGACAAAAGTAAGGAGTCAAGAGGGGCGTAGGGGGTAACTCGCTGGACCCCTGAGGCCAACTGCAGTTTGAGTCCCAGACCTGGTAGCTTGAAACTCACGCTCGGCACGTGTGTGTGCCCAAGATCCCGCCAGAATAGAAAAGAAGGGATTGCGGCACGCCCATGCCCCTGGGGGAGTGATTTCTTACTTTCCCTTTCACTGTCTCTGCTTTCTCTCTGGCAAGCATACAGGCTCTAAGGCAAAACTCCTACCAATAAATAAATAAATAAAAGACAAAAGTGATATTTAAACACACTGGAGAAAATTCTGTTTTAGAATCTATTCTTATCCCACTACACTGAGATAGTCCAACAAAGGAATGTAACCTCTCAGTCTTTTTTGTTTTAATTTCCAGTTGCTCAAGTAAAAAACATTACAACAAAATTTTCTTTAATACCTTGGTCCTTAATCTCAGCCCAATCCTTCAGTTTAAGATTTAATCACTATGTGCTGAGTATTCCAGAATTTTCACTGCATATTTTGACTCCATATAGACACACCCACAATGAATCTATATAGTTCTCTTTTGCCCCTAAGGTTTTCTGTGCAACCTTTTGATGTGAGTTTCAGGTAACTATCATCACAATCAAAACACAGAACTGTCCCCTCACCACAGGCCTTTTGTGTGTCACACTTTATCACCCTGTAGCCACATCCACTCTCCCTCTCGCCAGTCCTTAACCTCATTCTCCATCTCTATATTTTATTTCAATACTGTTATATAAATGAATCACAGTCTGTAACCTTTTGAGACTGGCTTTTTTCACATAGTATAATTCTCCGGTGATCCACCCAAGTCATCTTGTATATTAAGAATTTTCTTTCCAATGCTGAAGAATATTCCATAATATTGGGTCGTCCGAAAAGCCATGATGCATTTTTGCATAAAATATCATAGAAAAAGACTTCATGACTTTTCCTACGACCTAATATAAATGTCCCACAGTTTGTGTAGCCATTTACCCACTGAAGGATATTTGGATTGCTTTCAGCTCTTGACTATGATCAACTGAGCTACGAGGAACATCTGCATGTAGCTTTTTATACACTCATCCATTTTCATTTCTGTGGGACAAACGACCTGTAGTGCAGCTGCTGAGTCACATGGCAGTGCACGCCCAGCTTTGCAGGAAACTGCCAGACTCCTCTGCAGCGGCTGTCCTTGTGTATTCCCACTCCAGGCTCCTAAGAATGAAATCCTCAGCCCAGAGCATCGTTAACACTCGCTACTAGGGCACAGGTCTACGCGGTCTAAATAACTAGCACAGGAACTCTGACTGTGGATGCCCTGGCCCGAACCCCAACCAGGTTTATTCTAGAGTCATCTATAAGTTACACAGAGGGCCAGCCGGCAGCATCGTAGTTAAGGTAGTTGGATCCTATATCGCCAACTGTGTGGTTTGAGTCTCAGAGCTGGCAGCTTGAGAAACACTCTTGGCGTGTGCCCAAAATCCAAAGGAGAATGGAGGAGAAGGGATTTCTCACCTTCCTTCTTTCTTTTCCTCTCTCTGCATGCATCCTATAATAAATTACAAATATTCACCATAAATGTTATTCCGCTTAACTACGTCTTTAAAAGTTGTTTTTGTTGCTCTTTTAAAAGACAAAAGTAAGGAGTCAAGAGGGGCGTAGGGGGTAACTCGCTGGACCCCTGAGGCCAACTGCAGTTTGAATCCCAGACCTGGTAGCTTGAAACTCACGCTCGGCACGTGTGTGTGCCCAAGATCCCGCCAGAATAGAAAAGAAGGGATTGCGGCACGCCCATGCCCCTGGGGGAGTGATTTCTTACTTTCCCTTTCACTGTCTCTGCTTTCTCTCTGGCAAGCATACAGGCTCTAAGGCAAAACTCCTACCAATAAATAAATAAATAAAAGACAAAAGTGATATTTAAACACACTGGAGAAAATTCTGTTTTAGAATCTATTCTTATCCCACTACACTGAGATAGTCCAACAAAGGAATGTAACCTCTCAGTCTTTTTTGTTTTAATTTCCAGTTGCTCAAGTAAAAAACATTACAACAAAATTTTCTTTAATACCTTGGTCCTTAATCTCAGCCCAATCCTTCAGTTTAAGATTTAATCACTATGTGCTGAGTATTCCAGAATTTTCACTGCATATTTTGACTCCATATAGACACACCCACAATGAAT